TATCAATCAATATTTTGATCTGTATATGGTAATATGTCACATCGTGTGAGCGTGACTAATATCCGCTATTTGATCGTGAATTGAATGGTTTTCTAGCAAATCAACGTCTTAATATTGATTGTTACTCATGACATTGAATGGAGAGGCGTTGATGAAAGCAATTGTTTCGTTCTGTGAATTATTCGTCCGTAGATTGGTGAATACTGGCGTACATCTATTACAGGTAGACTAATGGATCATTAAAAAAACTTGTATGTTAGAAGTTACTTCGTATGCATTATTATCAAGTCATCAAGGAAATGACTAATGACTTTTTTGTTGTTCTTTGACACTGAAAAAAGATCAAAACCTTTTACCTTTTCTTTTCTTCTTTAGAGTGCATCGTTTGATACTTTTTAAACAAAATTGAAAAATATATATTTCAACAAATATGTTTATTTTGAATTAAAATCAAATGACAAAAATGTAATTAAATAGAACTATGTTCATCATGATTGAAGTGCCCCATCGATCTTCTGCTAATCAAGTAATCCGTTGATTGCACATGAAATCCACAAAAAGAACAATACCAATGTACTTTGTGGGATGACCAAATTGCTCTTATTATTCGCAGTGGTTGTAGTACCATTGCTGGTAATGGAATTAGTTGTGCTAGTGCTAGTTGGTATACCATTGTTGGTCGCTATAGCATTGGTCGTGGTAATACTATTTGAATAAGGCAAACATGTAGTCATATTTAGATCTGTATACGTTGGTAAACTCGCCATGGTCATTATAGTATAAAATCCTGCACTACCATAAGTAACGAATCGTGCAGCTGTACTGTAGAAAGTCTGCAATTGTGCAGTTGAATCTGCTGTCTAAGTGGCATTGAATGCCCATTGAAAAAGTGTAGTTTCATTAATTGAAGCTCTATAGAGAATTTATCAAATAGGAATGAACCTGTAGAAAAAAAAGTACTTAAAGGGGAATATTTGTCTCTGCTGCCCATGATACCGGACTGATAATACCAGCACATGTTTTTAAATTAGATATTCGTGAATAATATGTGAACAGATGAAGGCACATTTCTTGATCTGTGCGGCGACCACCCGACATAATAAATCATATTGTACTTCACGTAATTATCACCAATGTAACCACATTTTTATTGGTTGTACTATATATATAACAAGTAGTAAATTCGTCTCTCTAAAATATATCACACTTCATACAGGATAGATTTTAATTGGATTTAGCAGGCGGTGTTCAAACTAATAATTAGTATCGAACAATTCAGCATTGAACAAGTACTGTACAGTAGTTTTATTACGGATCAATTTTGTCCATACACTTTTATCTATTTTAATGATAAAAAACCGGCTGTGATGGATGAGCAAAAAGACGACACAAAGAAGTAAAACAATATCCTGAAGATGCGTATAAGGAAACGTTGAGATAACTGTTAAACCAGTTTGAGGAAAATTCTATGATACAACCAATCTAGTTTATGAAATCTCATCTGAAAATTTGCGAGCATTCAGTGACGCTAGCATTATTTGGGACAATATAAGTTACATTAGTTTTAGTTATTTCTAAATGCATAAAAACAGCTTGAGAATAAGAGAGATAAAATATTTTTTCAACTTTCATTTGATAAAAAGATACTCAAAAACAGTTGAATTTACAAAAAATGCTGCGTCGTAGACAGCTCACAACATCAATTGAGACGACAACAAATAGAAATGACTAACACAAAGAACCATTAAAAAATAAACATTAGATTTAAAATACAAGTTAGATGGATTAGAAAGAAGCTTCAATGAGAATATGTTACTACCAGAACCTGGTTATGTTTAACCAATAAACTGCATCCTAATGAGCTTAAATCAGACAACAGCTGTAGAACACAGAGGATTATTATGTCAAAGAAGCTACAAAGTATACAACACCCCGAACTGAAACGCGTAAAGTATAAAAAATTAACAAAAACCAAACTACAACGACAAAAGCCAATTAGAAAGGCATGGCCAGCACCTAACTGCACTAGAATGCATTAAAACGCATTGAACCCAGGACGATCGTTCCTGGAAGCAGTATTCCGCTTATTTCCCGTGAAAACCCGCAGGATATTTATAGTATCCGCGCTGGAAACCACGAGAAAATACTCGGAATCCCACTGAAGGAACTGATAACCGTATCCGACTAATGGTTATGGCGGGTTCTTGCTGGTTCCCGATAAAACCTCTTGAATGCGATGAAACGATTCGGTAGCCGGAAAACTGCTTCCATGAAATCCCCGGAAGGTCCTGGAACTAGTCATTTCCGGGCCGGATTCTTCGACCTGGGAATCAATAAAAACCCATAAAAGTGCAATAGATTGATACATATTACAGCACATTCAAAACGAATGAAACATCATAGAAAATGATATCAGTGTGAAGCTAGCACGAAGGAGCTAGCACGAAGAAACTGTGTGTAAGCTAAAAACTTTTTTCCAGAGTTTGTCCGGTTCATAAAACCTAGTCCATTCGATTCAGAATTTAATTCTGCATCGAATGGTGGTATTTTTATTCACCGGACAAACTTTGGAAAAAAGTTTTTAGCTTACACACAGTTTCTTCGTGCTAGCTTCACACTGATGGATTCATTCACATTGGTTGGTAAAACTTCAAGTAGAAGCCAAGACGATGGAACCGTATGAGTAGGTAATCGTTGCATACAACTTTTTGTTAAACTTAGTGCTTGAATTGTTGGATCAGACACAAAACATGTCCAACATTTATAATTAGATAAGTTTTAACAGAAATCAATATATTAATTATTTCTTTGCAGTATAATTTAAGCCAAAATATTCTCACAGTTATTTATATGACATCAATCAATTATAATATTTGGTTCTTCAATTGCTCTTTCATTTTCAAAAAAATCGATCAAAATCTAGGGAAAACAAAAATGACTCATATGTAATAATGTTGTCACAAATATTTTTATCCTTCATTACTCTCTATGATGCCGCGTAGAAAAATCCTTCGCTCAAGAATATCCATCTTGAGAGCGAAAATATAGGTTGTTTTCTCTCGATTTAAAATGCTGATACATTGTTTTTGACAAACTTGTTTTCTAATTATTTTTCTTCCTCGTGAATTCTTCTAGGAAAGTTCTTGTAATGCATACGTATGAATAATTTGCTCATTTTCAATTCAACAACACATGAAATTAGTATTTGCATAAGATTTTCAGATAAATTAAATGTTTTTGTTTTACAAATTGGGAATTATTTCTCTTTCGATTTTATTCATATAGAATATTAGGTCTGCACAAATTATGATGGAATCAAATAAACAACAATTACTCTCACGTTCTATCATTGAGAAATGTTAACAGGATGAGTTTGAATATATTTCAAATCTTGACCTCGACATTGGTAGAAAGTGCAGCGATTAGCTGTGTGAATACTATGATACAATCTCTGACTTCGAACAATGTAATAGTCAGCAATTCGATTATATTTAATCGAAGTAAATGCAATATGAAAGAAGAAAAATACAATAGGAACAAAGACAAAGTACCATAAACAAAATATTCAGAGTTTTACATCATTTTTATTTTTTAAAACAAAACATAAATAGAAATTAATATAAATGTTTAATAAAGCGTGTTTTCATAATATTTTCTGTTTTACAATAATGTTATGTCTGATTCTTGGAAAAAGTACTTGTCAAAGGATCTTTCTTATAGAAGTTTTAAATACTCAAAATAATATATAAACAATTCTTCATTTCTATTTCTTCACAACATTTTCTAATGAACAAATAAAACTTTTCGGTTAATTTTTCTTTTCTTAATAATTATATTTCAGCTGAGTATTTACTGGTAAGTCTTATAACATCTTATCATATTTCTATGTATCTAAATCGAATTTGTATGGCATATAGCTTTTGAATTACGAGAGAAAATGCGGAATCTTGATATTCTCTTATTTATGATTTGTTCAGAGGAGTTGATCATTTCACCAACAATTGATACAAGTCTTCATGATGAATAGAAATGTTTTCAAAGTGATCAACAGCAACTCTAAATCACATCGATGACTTTTTAGAAACAAATCTTCTATATGCGTATTGGCTTGTAGATAAGTTTGTCCTTCGATGGATCACGTTTGACAAAATGCTGCTGCTGATATCTATACCACTTTTTGAAAAGAAATTTTCGAACACCTGTACACGCCGTCAGATGTTCGAAATGTAGTTGACCCAACCAACTCATCTTGACCATTTGAAAATCGTTTCTCTCTCTCTCTCTGAAACAAGCCATATCATTAGAACAATAATGAAAAAAACAGTCGTTTAAGTGCCGAGCATGTTCTCGTTCATATCCATTGCCCATTCTAATGAAATAGTTTGAACTTAAACTTTTTTTTATTTTGAATTTAATAGATATTTGATTTCATATTATTTTGTTTGACAAAGAACTCAATTGTTCAAAGTGATGAAGTACTTTTTTCGATGGATTGTTGACCAATTGGTCAAATTAAATATCTTTGATAAAGGAACAACTGATGAACATTCAAAACGCAATGAAATTTTATCGACAAGAGTTTATATTATCAGTTTAATTATAATTCTTTTCGTTTTAACCTTAATAACATCATTGCAATCGAATTTGAATACAATTACAATGAAAAATCCGACGGAAGATGAATATAACAAATTACAATTGAAAAATTTCGATCATTTTCAATGTCCTTGTGCACAAATCTCGAATACATATGATGAATTTGTCACTATAATTCCTGAATATCATGAAATATGTTCATCTGATTTCCTAAGTGAAAATTGGATTAATTATTTATTTTATGAAAATACGAGTTATTATTTTCAATTAGATTTCCGTCATAGTGCATCATCAAGATTTCAACTTCTTCGTACATTATGTCAACTAGCCCAACAATCGATAACAGATCATTTAAACGAATATTATTCATATGAATTTATAACCAATGAACTTTTATCATCAAATGTATTTCATCTTCAAATAGATTCATTTCTTAGTGTATTTCAACAAACTTTCCCATCCTCATTTCGAAATTTGTTAAAATTAATTCGACAAACAACAATATCAAATGGAATATTCTCAGCAATCGATACAAGTCTTGCTTATGCATTTCATCCATCAAATATCACACGAATTTATATGGATAGTATTTATTATTATGAAATAAGTTTACAAAGCAAAATTTTTGATTGTTATTGTGATAATTATACAATATGTGCAATGCCTGAAGGAATTTATAGTAATTTAGATCGATATGATCATCCAGGATCTGCTTGGATTAATGATGTTAATGTTAAAGCACAAACTGCAGGAATTAATGCAACATTTTTAATCGATGGAATGATTGTGGGTTGTAAACCAATTGAATCTTTAATGCGTTCAACTCTCGAATGTTTATATGATCGAATTTGTTTAAATCGAATTGGAAAATTTATTAATTATACTTCAATATCAATTGATTCATTTCAAATTTTAAATCAATCGAAAGTAATTCGAAATGAAACTATTGAAACGTTGACCAATAGATTATNGAATGATTGTGGGTTGTAAACCAATTGAATCTTTAATGCGTTCAACTCTCGAATGTTTATATGATCGAATTTGTTTAAATCGAATTGGAAAATTTATTAATTATACTTCAATATCAATTGATTCATTTCAAATTTTAAATCAATCGAAAGTAATTCGAAATGAAACTATTGAAACGTTGACCAATAGATTATTTGTTGAAAATTGGATTATTAATAAATCATATTCGAAGTATTTTCATTCATGTCAACCTTCATTTTGTCAATATACAATTGAACAAAAACAAAGTTTTGTACAAATTCTCGCAACTCTTATTAGTTTATATGGAGGTTTAAGAATTGTTCTTTCATTAATTATTCCTGCAATTATTAAGTTTTTTCGAAGAAAAAAAGCACCGGAATATCGACGATCAAACGGTATTGTATTGTTTTTCAACATTTAGGCACTTCATAGTAAATCTATAACGATATTTTGTCTTCCATGAAAGATTTTCAGTACTAACAGATAATTTTTATTTTCTAGAAATACTCATTTTGTGAAAATTGCGCGAAAGTTAATAGAGGTATAAACACAGGACACTCACGATGGGCTTTTTAAATGCAAATAGAAATACGAGTGTGCCGATTTTTTATGAAAGAGATGTATATCCTAATGGAATCACGTCTTTCTTTATTTGTTCCTATCACAAATCGCATTGTTTTCAGACAAAACATTCGTCCATAGAAGAGAAAGAAAGAAAACATCGTATCAAAGTGCACCGATATGTATCCGCGAAATAAGGACAAATAGGATGAGTACAGCAGATGATAGTGGAGCGTCACAACGAGATTCTCGATCATTGATCTTTGAAAAGAAAGAAAATGTTTTTGTATAATTTAGTATCAAAAATTGTTCATTTATACAAATTAATTCGTTTATTAATAAAATCTTTAATAGAATTGAATATTTTTAATAAATATTCACAAGATGAACATGCACAAAAGAATGGAAGATTATCAACAAAACTTTATTTTCTCATTTTAATTCTTTGTTTATTTATTTTTGGAATATATTTATCATTAGAAAAACAAACACATAGAAAATTAGTTTTAAATCCAACAAAAATTCAATATGAAACTTTACAAAATGAATCCTTTGATGAATTTCAATGTCCATGTAATCATATCTCAATAAAATATGGAGATTTTCTTCAATTTCATCCGACATATCATGAATTATGTTCAAGTATATTTGCCTCAAATCTTTGGTATAATGCTTATGTAATTTGGAATATCACAAATTCATGTTATTATCCATCGTTTCAAAATTTAGCTTCTTTTTATTTTTCACTTTTATTAACATTTTGTCAATCGGCAAATGAAACTATTTCGAATAGTTTAACACAATTTTATGCATTGGAATATATCACATCTAATGTTATTCAAGAAATTCAATTTAATTATGAAATTATGTCATTGATCGAATCATTTCAAGTTCAATTACAAAATTTATTTCGACAACAATGGAATTTATTACAAAGTGTCTTAGCAAATAATCAAATTATCAGTGTACGAAAAACAAATTTTATTTTAAATGGAAAAATGATGAATCAAACAGTTGTTCCTTATTCATATATAAAACAATATGAAAATTGTACTTGTGGAACAAATTCACTTTGTTATGAAACACTTGGATTTTGTATTCCAAGTCGACGTGATTATATCAAAGGAATGCGTGTTGGTTGTTATATGGTTGAATCTTTATTTTTATCAACAACTGAATGTTTTTATGATGAACACTGTCTTGATATTATTAAATCATATATGAGAATTTCAGCTCCAATCTATTCGAAATTAAATATTTTAAATAAAACTTTGCCAAGTCAATATAAAACAAATGATTCAATTGAAAAAATCCTGAAAAATCTTTTTATTGAACAATGGAATGAATTTTATTCGTATGAAATGTATTTTAATCAATGTCAACCATCGGTTTGTTCATATTTCATTTCTCAATCACCAAGTTTTATTTCTACTTTTACAAAATTAATTGGAATTTATGGTGGTTTGAATATTCTTTTGAAATTTTTTCTTCCAAATCTCGTTTATTTCATTCGACGAAAGAAGAGACAACAAACAGGTATTTCTTTTCTATTATGTTTTCACCATGACAATCAGTGAATTTTGAACGATGTCAATACTGGGTTACTATTGATCGGTATTGACATTAATATTGGCATACTGTGAAGAAGAGAAAATGACAGATTTTTCGAGTGTCATGTTGAATATGAGCCTTTTCGCGTCTGGGATAACATTTTACTCGAAGATCTCGACTTTTCTCTTGTTAAACAGAAACACTACGGAAAATAAATGCAGATTCATCTCAGTTATCCATCTTACATAATTATTAGCATAAAATGAGGTTTGAGAATCTACGAAGCTCTCTCAATGAGGAAATCAGGGAAGATCAGCTATGACTCAGTTTCATTCGGAAACTTTTCAGTTTCTCTTAAAGAAATTTTCCAATGTAATTTTTCTTTTCTTAATAATGGCAGCGTATTTCGTATAATATGGTGTTTTAATTGACTATATGAAGTCTTTTAGTTCTCTTACACCAAAATCTACACTCGATCAAAAGTTTTTTACTAGACAGAAGATGATAATCTTAATCTTGAATTTCCACGAATATTTTCATCCTCAGTACCAATCCTAATACTATTTTGGTATTATGACATCCCGTAGGGGAAAACAGCGATACTCCAAATTCTTTTTGGAGTATCGCTGTTTCCTTCTTGGACATCCCAAATAAAATTTTCTGCCGAAGTTTTCTAAATCTAATTATCTATCACAACAAAGTTGATGATAATTCTTCAAGTCATCGAATGCATAAAAGTGAATTCTTTTCTTTTCATTTGAGTTTCATCATTATGGGATCGAATATGTCGAACTCTTAGTTCAATTCAAAGGAAAATAATTCATTTAAATTTGTTTCGTGATTATTCAAGAAATGAAGAAAATCTTCGAAAACAGATTTTCACAACGAGAATCTATTTGATTAGTTTTGGTATTGTTTTGATTCTATTGGTTTTATACACGTCATTTACTGAACGATCGATTTCAGTTAATTTCTCTTTGTTGAATATGGAACATTATAAACAATTACAAATGAAATATTCGACTAGTTTAACTTCTCCATGTGAACAAATTTCAATAAAGTATGATGAATTTGTTCATGTTGAGATGATTTATCATGAAATTTGTTCATCAGATTTTCAAAGTCAACAATGGTTTGATTATTTGTACGATGATGATCAAATCAATGAACGAAATTTTCGTTCAACAGCATCAGCACAATTTCAATCACTTGGATCTTTATGTAAATTAACTAAAGAAACAATCGATACAAGTTTAACCCAATTTTATTCAACTAAATTAATCACTTCTCAATTATTATCAAATGAAACATTTCAAAATCGAATTCATTCATTAATAACTCTTCTTCAAAAAACAACTTCTCAATCATTTAAAAGAACATTAAATATGATTGAAGAAATTCTACATGGAAATTCCTATATGTCTGTTTATNGGGTTGTCTTACTTCTGTGAGACAACTTCACGGCAAATCTTTCTAGTGATGTGAGCAAAGTCATTAGTTCAGCGTCATTTTGAGAGGATTATATAATCAAACTTGTTCTACTCTACGAACAGAAGAGAAGAATATTTCTTCGAATTAATTGCATCTAACTCGCGTTCACGAAATAGGACTGTTATTAGACACACGAAAAGTAGCAAAGCACGTATGATTTTCAAGAAAGTTAGTCTAATTATTATCAGAAAACATGTTTCTAGATTTGTTTGATATTAATGAGTACTAAAAAGTTTCGAAAAAAGAGCTTTTAAAAGAGTTCCATACGTATTTCTATCATTTTTTTTATATATGAAAAAATGCTGTACATGTACCTAAAAAATGCTAAAAAACTCGGGTTTTTTTGCAGATAGGACCCAATTTTTTTTCACCAAAAGTGTTTTCCAACCGAGATCGGATATTTAAGACGAAAAAAAACGAAAAAAAAACCTTTCCAAAACGTGGCTGGATCTCCATGGATTCACGCACATAGATTCGATACACAGCGCGAGCTACCACAGTCTGAACCTTGCGTACATGCTTTATTAGTACGACATCTAAAACAACGGGGTGTTTGTATCCCACCACAGTCCACATCTGATTCACCATTATTCTTGATTCCGTCCTTACATGATGGTGCTGAAATAAAATGAAAGAATTTAATGAGGTCCATTGAGGGTGTGTGAAATCCGCTAAGTTTCTATCTATTTCAAAGTATTTCTCAATCAACTAATGAAAGATGAAAGAGAACGATAATGTGTCACCGATTGAAAAGTTAATTGGATTCTATCGTTTAATACCTGTTGTTATTGTTGATGTTGATGTCGATGCAGTGGTTGTTGATGTAGCCGTTATTGATGCAGTGGTTGTTGATGTAGCCGTTGTCGGTGCAGTGGTTGTTGATGTAGCCGTTATTGATGCAGTGGTTGTTGATGTAGCAGTTGTCGATGCAGTGGTTGTTGATGTAGCCGTTATTGATGCAGTGGTTGTTGATGTAGCTGTTATTGATGCAGTGGTTGTTGATGTAGCCGTTATTGATGCAGTGGTTGTTGATGTAGCAGTTGTCGGTGCAGTGGTTGTTGATGTAGCTGTTATTGATGCAGTGGTTGTTGATGTAGCCGTTGTCGATGCAGTGGTTGTTGATGTAGCCGTTATTGATGCAGTGGTTGTTGATGTAGCAGTTGTCGGTGCAGTGGTTGTTGATGTAGCCGTTATTGATGTAGAGGCTGTCGATGTAGTTGAGCTAGACAGATTGGGAGTGTAGGTTGTTGAAGTTTCTAAAATCGAATGAAAAAATGTATATAAAAATTAATAGAGAATCTCATTTGGTTTTATATAATTATAGAGATGATTTAAAAGACTTCTTATCGCAATGCTCTCGAAGCTATGCAAAACTTACGCTGTGTTGTGGATGTACTAACAGCTGGTTTCAGCGAACAGAAACTCAATGAAAAACTGATTGAAGTACCATTAGGCAAATTAACTGATAGATTAATTGATGGGAAAAGCCTTGTAATGTGTGAATTAACTTGATCAGCCAATTTTCGTTGACACGCTTGTGTTCGACATGCTTTGGAATAGTCAATTCGGAATTCCATTTCAAATATACCATTTTTTGTATTTTGCCCCTTTGCACATTCAGTTGCTCTTCAATAATAGTAAAATTATGTTAGAATACTGTCGCTCGTGAACTTACGCTCTTCTCTTTCTGCTGCTGCTGCTTGTTGGTGGTACATATTTAGCTGTCGTCGTGACCAATTCCTTTAGATTCAATGCTTGGTTCAGCTGAAAATAAAAATACAAAGAATTAGAAGACATTAAAAAAAACTGTACAATTTACTTGTGCACTCAATGCATTCATATCTTCTATTGAGTATGAAGTTGGATTTTTTGAATTTGTTATATAACTCAAAGCGTAAACTTGTGGATCTGGAAATAAAGAATGAAATTGAATTTTTTAAAATACAAATTCGAATAGCGCTCTCACTAGAGTTAGTAGGAACGCTAATATCATCTCCCTTTTGTTGCAAATATACTGGAATGAGACCAACAGCAATAGTGCCTACCACTATACCAATACAAAGTAAGGCAATTAAGGCAGCGATTAACGGTATATATGGATTCGATCGCATTTGTGTCTAGAACTAGAAATGAGTAAAACTTTAGTGCGATTCAAATAAATTATTATCTGCTTTTCTTATAGCTGAAAAAAGTTAAATACTTCTTATGTTTTCGCCGATGTACCCGAGTGATAATATTTGTAATATAGTGAATACTCACATCATCAATGTAATTTATATACAAGGCAAAACGAACCCCGTTTCCCTTTCTTTTGATTTTTATTTATCAATGTGTCTCCGGCGTCTCGCCGCCCGATCGATGAAATCGCAAGCAATTATAGTTATTTATGACATTCATGTAAGTACTATACACGATCAACCACCCTTTTTCTCCGTACATACTTTTATCTGTCATTCAAATGATTTACAATGTAATGTTGTTTTTGCTTTTCACAATTTGTGCATTGATTTTGTCAAAACAACCGATGATCATACCTTTAGTTTAATGTTTCTTTATCCTGAAATCACCATCAATGGTAAATGGCTACGAAATACTGTTTATTTTTTCGATCAGTTACCTCCTCTCTCTCTTATCTTTGTGCACTCGTACTTAACTTTCTCAATGTCATATGTTCTCGAAAATTGTTCGTTTCATCACCGATATATCTCATTTAGCAACCCTTCACTTTCCAGTTTCGAAATATTTTTTACGCTTGGTTTGCTCTAACATTATGATTTAATACGTATGAATCTCGGTATGACTAAAATCTTTCTCATATTTCTGATATATCGTTGAATCTCACGCAAAAAATCTCATATTAATCGACTTTTTGTGACGAAAAACGATTTCAATGGCATCCCACCAGAGATGTCCACAGGGCAGGGCATAGCCATTATATGCCCCGCTGCTTTTATGCATTATTTTCTTATTCGGAAATTAACAGAAATAGTCGTTTTTTCCAATGTGATACTGCGTGAGAAAACCTCAGACGAAGTCTACAATAGGTAGAACCAAAACAAAACTCCAGGAGAATTATAAAACGAAAAAGAAATTTCAATTCCCTTTTATGAAAGAAAGGGTTATACAGCGTTTAAATGCTGTGTTAAAAAGCTTAAAGTTTGTCTGTCTGACTGACTGTCTGTCTGTCTGTCTGACTGGCTGGCTGGCTGACTGACTGGCTGGCTGTCGGTCTGTCTGTCTGACTGTCTGTCTGGCTGTCGGTCTGTCCTACCCAATCAGAAATCAGCATTTCTAAAATCAATGAAATTAATCGATAGCTGTTAGAAAATGATTACCGGTAGGGTAATCGAGGTCGAGGATCTCGAATCCGACGTTAGTGTTGCTTAATTAATTATTAATTTTTCATTAACTAGCCACGACTTATTAACATCCATTGTCAGAGTAGACCGAAGGATTTCTGACGTCGACAAATTCGAATTTGAGGGTGAATTTCGTTTTATTCGCTGAGCCTGGGCTTGTTCCTTCCTCTTTACAAAGGAGATATTTTTCTTTATCTGTTCTAAAATCTTTTGTAGAAGACGGTGAGCTGAACGCTATTCACGGACGTCATGTGTACAAAGATAGTATAGCTCAAGAACTTACACGAAAAGATCTAATGCATTGTATTCAATATGATGAATTTGTTTGTGTTGAGATGATTTATCACGAAATTTGTTCATCAGATTTTCGAAGTCAACAATGGTTTAATTATTTGTACGATGATGATCAAATCAATGAACGAAATTTTCGTTCAACAGCATCAACACAATTTCAATCACTTGGATCTTTATGTAAATTAACTAGAGAAACAATCGATACAAGTTTAACCCAATTTTATGCAACTAAATTAATCACTTCTCAATTATTATCGAATGAAATATTTCAAAATCGAATTCATTCATTAATAACTCTTCAAAAAACAACTTCTCAATCATTTAAAAGAACATTAAATATAATTGAAGAAATTCTACATGGAAATTCCTATATGTCTGTTTATCAAACCAATTGGAAATTTACTATTTTAGAAAGAGAAAATTTTTCTCCAATATATACAAATCCAATGAAATATCAATCATGTAGTTGTGGTACATCATCATTGTGTTGTGAACCAGTTATAATTGATAATTCAATAATTGATGGTTTGTTTATTGGTTGTTATCCAATGAAAACTATTTTACAATCATCACTTCAATGTTTTTATAATGAAACATGTTTACAAATCATTTTATCATATTTTCAAAAATCTTCTTCAAATAATATTTCATTTCAAATACTTTCATCAAATAATTCATATGGCACTGATGAAAAAGTTGAACAAATGGTTGATCGATTATTTGTCGATCAATGGAATATTAATCGTTCTTATGAAAATTATTATGAAAAATGTCATCCAACATTTTGTACATATTCTTATATTGAATATTTTAATATATTTTATATTGTGACAACTATTTTAAGTTTGTATAGTGGATTAATAATTGTATTAAGACTTCTTATTCCATTTCTTATGCATTTTATATTTCGATTATTGTGCAAAAGAAGAATAGATGTTGCTCAATCTTCTCAAACGTCTGTTAAAAACGCAAATTAATCAAAATTATTTTCAATACGAACATTTTTCTCGTCGAAAACAATCTTTCAAATATCAATTCTTTGCTTTCTTCTTTGCTTATGTCTTCTCAATTCTCTAAATGATCAAAAATAAAATGAAATTAAACGAATATTCTTTCGTACCCAGGTCAACAAATCCGATGCTGGATCTGAGTATCCGACAAGAAAAATGCCGTTGGTTGTTGCAAATTTTATGAGCGATCTTTTTAGCTATGTTCTATGATGACCCTCAGAAAATCCATGTTTCGGATCCGAGACCGTCAGAATCCAATGCGATTCCGTCACCAGGATTTCATCGGATCCGTCGAATTCCTGTGGGATCTGATAAAATCCTATATTGGATCCGAGTATGGGATTGTTCGACCTGGATATAAACTGTAACTCAAATGTCCGTATCAAAAGATGTTTTATGTTTACATGTTTTACAATTGTGATAATGATTACTGGTAGTCTAACAGTTTATTATAAATCCCCGGAACCACCAGGTCCGTTCTTCTATTCCAAATGAAATATATTTCTACTAGAGGGAGTACCCGCTGCAAATAAGAAATATCTATGTCGAACATCTCACGTGTTGAAGAGTTATAGCAGGTAGAAAATCAGTATAATTCAAATTTCTACGCTTCCAGTCCTTATTTTCCTGCCGTGCATCGCATAAAATGCCAGTTTTGGCTATATCTTTTTATGGAAAAGAGTTACCGAAGCTAATTTCTGCCTCAGAAATTATGAAAATTTCCTCTCCCTCTGATATTCATTTTCCACTCCAACTATTCATTCATGGACCTCTTTCTCACTCTCACGTCATTTCATACCTTATATCCTTCGAATTCGCCTACCCTCATCATTTATCTTAATCTTTGAGATCCTGTAACGCTATTGGTGAGTTTCGCAGATTATCTGTAGCATTCACCGAACCATCATAGGCGTAGAGAACACGTGGATTGTTGTCTTTGAGCGCTCAGACGACCTTCGGCCGCCTTCGTTATTGATTTCGTCCACTTCTAAAATCCTGCAATCCTATTGGTCAGTTTCATAGATTGCCTGTAGCAGACGCCTGGTTCATTCGTTCTCGGAACAAAGTAGATGTCGACCTTCCTCTGGGTCTCAGGAAGCTTTGTGGAAAGTTTCACGCCGATAGCTACTACAGGGACTGAATGCATAGCGAACAAACAAACAGACAAACTTTCTTCTTTATATATATAGATTGTGAGAATATACTCTAAACGCTATAGGTTATTCATCAAAAGAAAATCGAATCAAACAATCATGCAAAAAGTTGAACGACAATAAACAAAAGTACTACTACAATAACAATTGAAAACATCGATGTCCATTTGATGCCTTGTTTATTGCCTTGTGCAGCACAGAGAGGATACCTTACTCTAGAAGATAATGATTCGAATACGGAAGGAAAGAAGGTTAGTTTAACTTTACCTTTCATCTTGTGTTAAAATTGCTTCACGAGCTCCAGCCCATTTACCAGGACCCTCCAAGCGATAGCGATAGGGTGTGTACGGTCCAAACAATAATTTCCAGCCGAGTTTAAAGTCGGTTTTAAGAAAATTTACTGTAAAAAAGGCCAAAGATTTCGTTCATGATGAACAGAATTCAATTTTTTATCTTACGTATATTCGGTTGGCAGCCAAGATGATTAGCAAGTTCATCGCAATGTTCCATATAATCAACCTGGACAGTATGTCGTGGTGAAGCAACATATCGTTCTCTCATTTTCGTCGCTTTATCATCGATATCTTCATCCATTTTCGAACGTGATGGTAATTTCAATTCACCTTTGAACACTTTGACAGCCCAGCGTGCCTGAAGTTCTGTGATTGGATTAATCGCACCCCATGGTTGTACAAGACCCATGACGGCAAGTGTTGAATGTTTCATGTGAGATGGCCAAATGTATTCATAGAGTCGAACCTGATGGAAGATCGACTGATTATGTCATGCATTCTCGAAGATGCTTACGTGATTTTCCTGAACGGAGATGATTTTTTCATCCAAATATGGAAATGCAATATTGAAACCTGTTGCCATCAGTACACAATCGACATAATCGAGTTTGGAACCGTCTGTAAACACAACTCCATGTCCATCAGGGGTGAACTCTTTAATATCTGGTTTTACAATAACGGATCCACATAAAATCCTATTCGGTAAGTCGTCGTTCATGCATGGATGTTGTTCTATGCAACAGTAACTTTTATAAATATAAGTAAAACAGCTCTTAGTACATACGCAAAGGACGATGTTTTGGTTTCATTTTATACAATTCATGGTCAAATCGTTTACTCATATCCCGTTCAAGCAATTGATTGACTAGCCATGGACAATATCTTTGAACTGTACAAGCTATTGTACTCGTACTATATAAATCCGCTGGCCAACCATTTGGTCCAACACGATTCAATACCCATGAGCCACGACGAGTGCTTAGATAGACCTTATTTTAATTTAAAAGAAGAGAATAAAAACTTCTTTTTGACAGTTTTGTCTCACTTGTTTAGCAAATCGACCTAGTTCAACAACCATGTCTCCTCCCGAATTACCAATGCCAATTATCACTACTACTTTATCTTCAAACCCATGTGGAGTCTTATATTGCCAACTATGCAATTTTGTACCTACGCTCATAGATATGACAAAACGAGTTTTACTCTTAGAACTCCAATGTATTACCTTTAAAATTCTCTAAGCCAGGAAAATCGACCCATCGTGGGTGTGCATGATGTCCCGTGGCTAACATAACCGCATCGTATTTTTCGCATTTTTCATTCTCCTTCGTTCTTTTATCTGCTTCTTCTGCATCAACACTATACACTAACCAAGCGCCTGTTTGTTCATAATCATCTGCGGGTTGAACACGCGTGATAGATGTTCGAAACCGGATATGTTTTGTCAACTGAAATTGTTTTGCATACATGCGAAAATATTCTAACAATTTTGTATTATGCATGTAATTCGGATATTCAATCGGTGCAGGATAATCGCTGAAAGCCATGAATTCTTTCGAAGTGTTGATCACAGTCGATTTCATCACACTCGCTTTGCCTTCAACTGCATTGGCATCATAGTTCCAAAGTCCACCGATATCATTCGTCATTTCATAACATGTTGGGACCAGATCTGCGTCCAAGCAACATTTAATAGAGATTAAGCCGCTCACACCGCCACCAATAATAGCGACAGTTCGCATTGTTTTGTTGCTCGGCGTTTGTTCGATTACTGTGTACGACAAAAAAACTTTGGCACACACCTGAGTAGTTCTTATCGATGCACGTGTCTCGCAAATGCAGACTGAAACAAAAACAAGTTGTCCTTTGTTGTTTTTCTATTATCACTATTTATTATCAGATAAAACATTTTTAACATTTGAAAAAGAATTCGTCTGTAGTTTAGTCAGGCACATCTGAAGTTGATTGATAATATCGCGTAATTTTTTCTCGACTTCATCGCTGCTCGCATCATTCTGTGCTGTTATGTTTGTATCAAGATCTTGCAAAGTTTTCAATCGACTAAGAAATTTATTTATCAACCAATAAGTTTGTTCGACTGGAGTTCGGTTTGATGATGATGATGATGATGAAGACTGATCTTCTAAACACAATCAAATTAGAATTTGGTAATATAGATGAAATTTCCTACCACATTCATCAATTAATTGTTCAAGTTGAAATAATTTAAAAATTTTGTCATCCGACGTCATGATGTCCAAATCTTCCATCATTTGAGAAAAGGTTGGCGGAGTTGGTAATTCGAGTTTACTTTTCGCATCCATGTGAGGATCTAGAAATGACAACAAGTGATTACTAATCAATTCATTTCTAAATTGTTTGTTTTTCGTCAACAATTAGATATTTTTATCTTTAAACACAAAAGAAAACAACTAAAATTTATTTTTCTTCTTCTTCGGTTTCTTCTTTTTCGAAAGATCAAAATGACTTTCGATTTCCACATCTTTTCGCTTGTTAATTGTCCTATAAAATACGACAGAACAGATTCGCTTTCGAACGTATATTACATGCTCATTTACCTGGGAATAGATATCACACCCGGATCGGATACACTCTTCAATTCTTCTTTCCAAATATCTTCACTTCCAGTGACCGCATACTTCGATAAATGTTGATCGTGCATCAAACGACTGATCTCTTCCGATTGTCGATTACGAATAGTTGCCGCTACTTCATTCTAAAATCAATTGATTAAATGTACAAACGTAAAACAAAATAACAATTCTAACCAGTTCTTGTCGAAGTGATTTATCCAACGGTTTCATATTAGCGGCATCCAACGAATTAACAAAGTCTTTTCCTAGTTCATTTTCTTGTGTCGAATTTATCAACTAAAGTACACAAACTAGTTGTACAGTATTTCATGCAAATCGACTTACATCAATGATCTTTTTGATGAGTTTATTAAAGAGTGCCAAGAGTTGAGATTGTGGTAAGTTTAATTCTGTCTCTAATTGTTCGATGGTTTTATATTGAAGACCAATACCAGCAATCAATGCCATTTGAATGGCTGTTAATTGAACTGGTAAACGATTTAAATAGAATAATCGAGCAAGCGTTGGAATCAGATCGAGAATTAAATGATAATCAACTAAATTTCGTGTATATGATTCTAAACGTCGAAGATCGTAATCGGTGAAGTTTTGTTCCACTAACGAAGCTTTAAATTCTAAAAGTACGATAAATGATAGTGTAGATGAGAAACGACAGATCTCTACACGTACCATCTTTTGTTTCAGGATAAACACCTTGTTGAATCATATTAAGAACCATTCCCGGTGTGAATGTTCGAAACTGAAAGCCAAGTAAGGAAAGCAATCGACGACGGAAATCTTGATAATAAGAAAATAGCCATGGCGCTTGTTCGGCCATATGAATCGACCGGAGCATGATACAGGAATATTCACCAGTAAGCTCTGACGCGGTTTGTCGAAGATAAACAGGAAGGAATTGATTTTTTTTCCAAAATTTCAACAAATCAGGCGAAAGACCATAGGATACACCAAGATAATCTATTGAATGTTTCAAACGACGTTCAGTGAGTTTTTGTAATAATGGTGGTAGACTTTGTCGTGGAAGAAGTTCTTCTTTTAATAATGGTAAATCTTCATCATCGATGATTTCCACTTGTTCAGCAGCAACAGGTGATGGTGGAGACTAAAGATAGAGATAAAAAAATGATTTGATCGATATTCTCGAGGGAACAGAGAAACAGCGAGTTCGTACTTCTGCTTGTTCAACTTCATCAAGATTAATAATTTGCCCTTGAAAGTACTTTTCCAATAATTGAATTGCTTTTGTTCCATAACCCATTCGTTGATAATCAGGATGAGTGGCCAAGCGAACAATTCGAACGCCTGACATTTTTCCAAACGTATAATCTTGATATGTTTGTGCAATAGTCCACGGTATCAAATCACCTGAATTTCGTTGTCCGTGAGATAATTGTCGTGCGACAATTTCTTTGGACAATTCACCTTCGTAACAAACTTGAATCGCACACAAGATTTCCGGCAATTGATGAGGATCAACAATAGGTCCAAGTAGACAATAGATGTCATGTCCAGGTGCATCGGAGAGCATTTGAAGATCATTCGGGGAATTTTTATAATGTGATGAAACGAATAGATACATCAAACGGCGTAAAAATAACTCCGAGGATTCGTTATAGGAAAACAATGTATCACGTTCAATGCAATAAAGTGAGCAGGAATCAAGGGATGGACATGCACCACGTGTTGCTTTACTAAAAATCACATCGGATAACTATACGACAAAATCATGACGATAGTACACCTACTTCGACTTCGATGGGTCTTGACAACAGTCAAGACAAAGAAGATTGTTTAGCCACGTTTCAATTGGATCATTTATGCCATATCGAATGGGTTCATTCAGTTCTAATTCGCTTAATGTTCGATGACTTGTTGTTGTTTTGGTTGCTGTTGTTAGAACAGCACTTTGCTGTCGTAATTGTTCGAGAAGTTTCAATGAAAGTGAACGTCCGGTGCCTTCATAACCATTGATAGTTGATGATAGAAACACCAAATAGTTTGCACCAGTTAATAATTGTTTGACAAGTGGAAGAGGTATCGCTGCGGCTTCGTCAATGATCAACAGTTCACATTGACTTAAACGCGATGATTCATTTGGTTGAATGTACTACAAAAGAGAAGATATTTCATTTTACGTAAACACTTTTGGATACGTACTTGAATCACTTGTCGGTGTTGTTTGGGTCGATGAATGGTTAATTGAATAATGATTTTCTCCTTATGATCGTTCGACGAATATTGAATATCATAATCAATATGATCCTGATAATCAAGTGCATTAAAACCTTTTAAAATAAATTCGAATAAAATTTTTAAATTTTCCGGTGCTGGTGAAGTGACATAGATATTCGAATAGCTAAAAAGATCATCAACAAATGTACTCCAGCAAACAAAAGTTCCATCTCTTACCCAAATGCAATCGCTCCTGCTACGGCTAAGCCGAGCGAAGCAGATTTTCCGCGTCCGCGTGATGCAGTTATCGAACATGTGTGTCGAAATGCTTTATCTGTAATCGAATCTAACAACTTCAAAAGAACTTTGCCTTGATCTAATGTTTTACAACAATCAATCAGATGTCCAATAGGTTGAGTTTCTCTCAATGAGTGGCACAACTGTTTCAGCTCGATTTGTTCGGCTGTTAAACTATTCTCTTCGGTTTTAGCTGGAATTGGTTCGATCATTAAACTTGCATTTGATGAACATGGTAAAATATTTAATTGATCATCAACAATCAAACATTGTTTACATGACGATAAACTCAATATGAAACGTTCGTTAAAACGTGGTTCAGTTTGTCGATGGGTTTCCGTCCGATAGCGCGCATGAATATCCATAGTCAATGTATATAACTGTTTCAATGAGCGCATCGTTTGAAGAAGTAAAACAACCAAACCACCACCCTCAACTGTTTCGATCGTTCGTGCCAATAAATTGGGCGTTAAGGCTTCAAAATCTTGTAGAACACACATGCCAAATGTTCGGCCGAGAATTTTCGGCGTGTCAGAGTAGAATGTATAATGAATTTGTGTTGCAGAAAGAAATACTTCAAATGGATTTTCATCATTACCACTGCCCATCGATCCAGTCGCTGCTTGTCGTTTACGCATTTGCTTCATACGTTTCTTTCGATGCCTTAAAATATAAACATAAAGAACATTTTCAGTGCTAGCTACTAATTGACTTACGTAGAAAAGTCAAGTTCTTTCTTGTAGCACCAGAGAACAGTTGGACGTGCTTTCACTTGAGCTTTTGACAGCATATGATGGAGAATAACGACCTGTAAGATAATGATAAGATGTAGAAAGCGTTGTATTTCAGAAAAAAAATCCTACCTGATCACGACCTTTATCGCCGACAACGACAATTAAAGATCTCTGGAATGATTTTATTCCATTTTCAATGAGCACACGAAGACGATTATCGATTTTCTTTTTCACCATCTAAAAGATATTGAATGATTTCATCATCAAACTCAAGAAATAGTTCGAATTCGAATCGCATATGCCAAACGATGATCTACTGGGTAGGTGATATTATCATTGGTGGACGGGCTGTTCGAATGCTGACATTCAACAAGACCCCTTCGAATGATGTTGACCGCATAACGTATATTTCAAAATGAGCAATGTCTTTGTAAATATTGAGAAAAACTGAACAGACTTTCATTGAAAGTAATATTACCCATGAGATAGATGTCGCTGTTGGAGATTTTAGATCTTCACTTAAATCATGTAAGAATTTCAATAAAATAGCAAAATATTTCAAAAGAAAAAAATTTTCGAATTTTTTTACTCTTTCATCCAATGAAAAATTCTTTCACAGAAATTCGAACTTTAACCAGTTAGATTACTTCTTTTTGATATTCATTCATTTGTTTTTCCTTCCTATTCTTCTTGCTAAATTCTACCTCGATTTTGATTTTAGATCTTCTATACGTATTTTTTGAGTGTGTGTGCGTGTGTTTTCCCTTTCTATACATATTTTTATTATTGATCAGCCGTTTTTCATCAAGTTACTATCCGGTGGTGCTTTTCAAGTACATAGAACAACAACAATGAATCCCAACACTGATGGTTTAAACATGATGACAGGAATTGCAATACCAGATGATGCTGAAGCTGATATTTTAAATGACGAAACATTTGGTGATTGTGACTTAGAAGCGATTAAAACAAAATCAGACTTTGGTGAAAACGGTGAATTTCTTGGTGATAATCCATCGGCTGGTTTACCGTCATTTTTCGACACGGATGTACCTGATACGGGTGGCCTATCGCTTGTCGACGAGGATGATCAATCTCAATCGATTGATGCTTTACTTGGTGAAGATCCCATGCGATTTTCTACGGCATCGGTGAACCGTCGACCGGGATCGATTATTCAACAGTCATCAAGCAATCCTCTCTTTAGTATGGCCATATCACAAGCACAAGAAACGAATCGCATGAACCTATTTTCTCAACAACAGCTGCAACAACCACCACCGCCACCGCTTCCACAGCAAATTCCGCGTGTTTCACCAATGACGATACCGCAACAGCAAATCAACTATCAACTATTGAAACAATTTGAACAAATGCTGATCAGCAAACAGATACCACCCCAGCAAAGACTTCTCTATATTCAAGCAATGATGGAAAAGATGCAACGTGAAGCGATGAATGCTCAACAGCAGCAGCAACAACAACAACAACAGCAGCAGCAGCAAC